CATCGCCGAAAGCCCGAATTTTGTAGTGTGGAGTGATAGGATAAGAGCACCTAAAACGTTTAAATAAGATTGAAATAATTCAAAATGACGAGAACGACAATAATAATACATCACATCACATATGTCCTCAACAACAAGAATTATTTTTAAGGTGCCTCTTGTGTTAAGTTATTCTTCATGGCTGTCTTCGGAAATAGAAGGCTTTTAGGCATTATTCTGTGGCCCAAACTATTCAAATACATTTCACACTGGAAAAAAAAAAAAAGATAAGTACTCCCAAAAACTAAAGAAAGATTATGTAAATTGGAGGAAAAAACAAGCATAATATATATATTCCCAAAAAAATATAAATTCTTTATTTGGTGCATCCTCTATCGTGGCCTTAACACGAACTGATAAACTACATTTCAGGTATCAATCTTTAGCTATAAACGCCAGCAGGTGTGAAATGTTCTTATGAATCTCTAGATCATTTGTTTATGCACTGCCCCTACACGGTTAACCATCTTTTTGACATTTTCAACGTTTCTCATCCACTCCCGAAATATATTGAAGGTTTCATGAAAGAAGCACTCTCCGAGGATCCTTTGGAGCAATGCCATTGGATCTATTCTTTGGGATGTTTGGTCGGAATGCAACAACCACACATTTTCAAATGTTTCTCGATCTTTTGCTCATCTCTTGGATGATACTATGATCTTAGTCTCATCATGGTCATCCGAATCTACTCTCTTTTGTAACGATGATATTTCTACCATTTCCCTCAACTCGAGTGCTTTCCTATAGCCTCCTCCTTTTGTGTTCCTCACGTACTCACGGTAATGAAATGATATCCAAATCAATAAAAAAAAGTTTAAAATGAATAGATTGCCATAACCTTAATTGGTTGGGTACGATATCAAGCAATTAAAGAAGTGTTCTGAGATATAAATGATTAAAGTTGAAAATAACCACTTGGTTGGTTTATTAATAATGTTAGAGAGATTCTTAGGTGGCATTGGAAAGGGGAAGACAATTTTTTTTTGTGGGATTTGTAATTGTATAGGGATTTAAGCAAAGAATAGTTGAACTTTTGAAAAAAGGGAATGGGGTGGGGTGGTACGTATCACCTTTACATAAACTTAAGCCTGTCATTTCAAAATTGGACCAACTTTTTTCCTCATATCGTAAACTTTAAGCCTCTGCTCTTCCAGCACTTGCAACTATTTACTCTCTCTCTCTCTAAAACCATTGGTTTTGGTTTTGGTTTTGGTTTTTCTTTAACTCACATGGCCACGTAGAGGGACCAAGATATATGCTTATTTTGAAGCTCAAAAGCATAAAAATGAGCAGCCCTTTTGAGTAGATAATGCCATATTTTACTTTTAATATCACTTTTTTCTCACAGTGCTTTGCTTTGCCTTTAACTAAAAGACACCCAATTTCAAAACTAATTCTCTTCTTTAATTAATGCATGCCACTTCTAAATTCTAATAACCCTTCTTTTTATTACTTCATCTCCATGGTCCCATCATCTAATCTCTAATCTCTCTCTCTTTGAAGCATAAACTTTCAACACTGTTTTATGGGGGACTCGGCTTTTGTTACAGTTACTCTTTGAAAGTTAAAAATTTGGAGACAGAAAGACAAGAGAGTTGGGGTGCATATGAAGCAAATGAATATATTCTCTCCTTCTTCTTCTTCTTCTTCTTCTTCTTCTTCTACTTCTTTTTTTTCTTTCTTTCAATATTCAAACACTCCTTTTGGAGCATTTATATTTACCCCATAGGCATAAATGCTTTCTGTTGTTCAAATTATTGGGTGCTCTTTGTATGTCTTTTTAGGACAACAAAGATGGATACTATAACTTCACTTTTTGACTGAGAAGACACTGCTCAACCAAAAAGCATTTTTAAATATATATACAGTTCAGCAGAAGCCCCTTGGACTTGGACTTGGACTCATTTTGAAGGGGTTATTATTATTATTTTTTTTGGGGTCCCTACAAACAAAATGGATTCAAGTTTCTATAGTGCTATCCAATTATTCTAATGACTCCCAATCATCTCTTCACAAAGCTTATGAAGCTTTCTCCTTTAATGGAGCTTACCAACTTTTATTTTACCCTCCAAGACCCTAACCCTCAAGTTTCTTAAGATTTTTTATTTATTTCTTTTCGGTAAAAGATACCGCATGGCTATTTTCATTCAAAAGGATATGTGAGAAACATACTAGAGTGGAGAAAGCGTTTAAATTTAGAGAAATAGTAGAGATATCGTAGTTACAAAAGAGATTAGACTTTGTGGACCGATCAGTATTATTGTTTTTAATATTTCTTCCCTTCTGGGTTTATGGTAATATAATTTTAAAGGAAGGATTGAAAACTTAGAAGTCCTCCTGAACTAATACCATATATGGTAACCATATATTATTTAACATAAACAACTCCAAATCTAATTATTTTTTTAAAAAACACACAATTTATTTGTTTTCTTTATTACCTTTAAAATAACTTTGAATTCTTACCAAGTTTCAAAAGTAAAAGAAAAAGAAATAAATTTTTTGTTTTTGAAAAATACCTTTTTTTAGTTTTTAAAAATTAAATAAAATTTCAATTTCTTTTTAGAAAGAAGAATACAAAACAAAAGGACTTAGTGTAACTATACTTATCTTTAAAATATAAAACTAAAAACTTACTGAATTAGTATATTCAGCAACTATTTTGTTATACATTATTACAGTGTGTAATTTTATGAATTATGAGTTGAATGCTTTAATTGCTGAAAAGTGATACAATATGAATTTTAAAACAATTAGAAACCCTTTTTGAGAGAATGCACCTAGATGTGAAGCAAAGGAAAAAGCTTAAAGGGAAGTTTAAAATGTGAATTACACATTTTGGCATGTTACTTATGGGTGTTTTATTGATTAATTAATATCTTAATTAATTACCTAAGCCGTAAAGAAAGCAAATCGATCTCTCATGCATAGGTGACTGTGAAGTCTCTTTAGATCAGTACCATCTTTAATCTTTATTCCATGATTGTTTGAGCATTCTCTCTTTTTCTTTCTTTCATTTATAATGTAAACGACTTTTTCTTCTATCGAATAGCTCTTTGTATAAAAACAATGAAGAAGAAAGGAAAAAAAAAAAAAAACAGAAAAGAGAGTTGAAGATGATTGAAGAATGAAAAAAAACAGATCTCTCTCGTTTGATGTGTTGGAGAAATAATAATTACTATGGCGGATGGAAAAGAAAAAAATTTCTTTTCTTTTTTCTTTTTACTTTCCCTTTTTTCTTTTCTTAATTCAAAAAAAGAGGGAAAAAAAATCAAATATGATTTTTCTGATCTTATGATATGTGTTTAAGAAGGGTTATTGAAATCCATTATGATGTAATGTATTAGCTAATTTAGGGTTGGTATTATAGCTAGAATTTTCGTTTTTCCTCTTCATACTTGCTTGTATGGCATTTTTTTAATTAAAAAAAAATTGTAACATACGTTTAGAAGACTATATATAAGAAAGACATTACATCATTCTTAAAAAAGTATGTCAAAAATATTCAGGATGCTAGATAAAAGCACTTTAATTAAAGAGAGATGGTGAGAATGTCATAATTATAAAAAGAGGTCGATTTGAATAACAACCATGAGAAAGTAACAGTAGTTTTGATATCGTCTTAGAAGGTAGCTACTGTGGAGAAAATACGATTGTTTCTCCCCAACAAAATGAACCAAATAATGAATCAGAATGTATTGCACCAGAGAATATTTCTGCTATTTGAGAAGGAGGATTTGATACATTATGAGATAAAAATGTCAATTACTAAGGGGAGTGCAATGGAGATACTAAAACTGCTAAGCAATCAGGCCCATAGAGCTGTAGTAAATGGACAGTAAAGGAATAAATGGTCTAGAGATTCACTGTTTTGCAATACTTGCAGTGCAACACACTAAATAAATAAAACATAAATAGAAACCTAATTCAAATAAGAAGTTGTTTCTTTTGTTTTCTTTTTAAGAATATTAAGAGTGAAGGTTCTAATCTAAGACTTCTAAGAGACGATAGAGATATTTTAACTACCACAGTGTATACTCGAGTTAGCCGATGCTATGTTCAGACTTTCTTCATCTCTAACCGAAGTAGGACTATATCTGTATTATTTAATGTTAGGAGAGAGAAAAGAGGGAGGGAGTAAAGTAATCAGCTTTTTAGGAGAGAATAGAGAATGAAAGGAAGGGAATTTTGGGAATTCGTTCAATAAAAAAAAAGGCCAAAAATAGGGATTGGATTGCCATGCATTTGTGTTCAATTCAAAGCCCTCACTTCAACGTCTCTTTGATTCCCACATGAATATTGGACACACTTCCCCATTCCCCACTCTCTTTTCAGGCCATCGGTGTTTGTGGATAGTCTTAAAGCACTCTCTCTCTCTAAACAGATGATGGAGTTGAAAATTGAATATGTTGTTCTTTCCTAAAATAAAGATTCTCCTAATAAATTAAAAAGAATTGTTTTGGTTTCACAATTTGTTTGGAAAAAGTAAAAGTAGAGAAAAAAAAATTTACCCTTTATTTTGTTGGTATTCTCTTAAATTTAGCCGTTATTTTTAACTCAGTTGACACTCGTCGTTGTTGGCTATCTCGATTCATTTTACTTTCTTTAGCTAAACAAGTGAAATGGATTTAGGTTATCTTGTCTGTCCCATAATTGCAGCAAATTTCTTTTGGGAATTCTAATTCAATGCATGAATCCCACTTACCCTTCAAAAGAATATATACTTACCAAACCAAAAAAGAAAAAAAAAAGAGAAGAGTATATCCCCAATGCTTGCCTAGTCTTGTAAAATAGTGTGAAAGAGAGAGATCAGTACATAAAATAAAGATGTTAGAAAGATTTGTTGTCTACTTGGGAGAATGGGAGAGACTGTTTGATTTTGATGTTAGTGCCCTTACTATGAATATATAATACCTTAACAGAAAATTTTTCATAAAATAAAAAAAAGAGATCCACTCAAACAAAAACCCTAATATATATATATACACATATATTATCCTCTTTTTTGTATTTCTAGAGAGAGAAGAGAGTATAGGGCAAAGCTGAGTTGCCTTTGATACTGCTGCCAATTCCCTCCTTCCCCTACTTGTCAGCACATGCATTCCACTTTCCACTACAAAATCACCTTTGGCCCCCCAAAAATTTTTACCCTCACCCACAAGAAAAGCATACCATCTATTTCTCTCTCTCAAAAATCCCCACCATGATCATCTTCTAAAATTCCATTGTCCCAACCCCAAGATTTTATTTTGTTCATATAGTCTCAATTACCAACCCCATCTTACCAAATTTCCATCCCTTTCTTGTTCTGTTGTTCTTGTTGTTGTTCCAAGTATGAGAACTGGCGGTTGCACAGTGCAACAAGCCCTAACTCCTGAGGCTCTGGGTGTTGTAAAGCAAGCCGTGATCTTGGCCAAGCGCCGCGGTCACGCGCAGGTCACGCCGCTCCACGTTGCGAGCACGATGCTCGGTGCTGCCACTGGCCTCCTCCGCACTGCCTGCCTCCAGTCCCAGTTCCACTCCCACCCTCTCCAGTGCAAAGCCCTAGAGCTTTGCTTTAATGTCGCCCTCAACCGTCTACCGGCTAATTCCAACTCCAGCCCCATGTTAGGACCTCCATCCCAGCACCACAGCCACCACCCCTCCATCTCCAATGCCCTCGTCGCGGCCTTCAAGCGCGCCCAAGCCCACCAACGCCGTGGCTCGATTGAGAACCAGCAGCAGCCCCTCTTGGCCGTCAAAATAGAGTTGGAACAGCTCATAATCTCCATTTTGGATGATCCCAGCATCAGTCGGGTGATGAGAGAAGCTGGATTTTCAAGCACACAAGTGAAGAGTAAAGTGGAACAAGCCGTGTCAATCGAGCTTTGTAATAATAATTCCTCCCAAATTACCGCAACCACCAAGTCCAAAGAGAACAATAGTAATAGCAACAACAATAATCTTCAAGCTATAGAGAAGTCACCCGGGAAATCGGTATCAGATCGAGTCATCAGCGAGGACGACATCGCTGCAGTCATCAACGATTTAGCAGAGAGACGGAGGCGGAGCGTGGTGGTAGTTGGGGAGTGCGTCGGAAGCCTCGAGGGCGTGGTGGAGGCAGCCATTGGGAGGATTGAGAGAAAAGAAGTGCCGGAGTGTTTGAGGGAGGTGAAGTTCATAAACCTCTCAATTTCATCTTTCAAGAATAGGACAAGAATGGAGGTTGAGCAGAAGGTTATGGAACTCAAGAGCTGGATAAGGGGGTGTTTGGGGAAAGGGGTAATATTGTACGTGGGGGATATCAAATGGACCATAGATTATAGGGCTAGTTATTCAAGCAGCCAAACGAGGGCTTATTATTGTCCTGTGGAGCACATGATTATGGAGTTAGGGAAATTGGCATATGGGAATTATTATGTGGGAGATGTTTGGATAATGGGAATTGCCACTTTCCAAACTTACATGAGATGCAAATCTGGGAACCCTTCTCTTGAAACTCTATTGGCCATTCATCCTCTTACAATTCCAGCAGGCAGCTTGAGGCTGAGTCTCATCTCTGATGATCGGTAAGAATTCACTAGTTTTTGGTAAAGTTGATCATAGACCCCCTTTACTTTGAATTCAAGAAAAAAAAGAAAAGGGAATATTAGAATAAAAAGAAAGGTGAAAAACAATAAAGTTGGTTAATTTTATTTAGTTTTTCCTTTTGGGAATTTTATATTTGTTTTGTTTTGAGCACTTATTCCAAATTCCCAGAAGAGAGAAGAAAAAAAAGTCATCTTTGGATATGGGCCAAACTATTTCACATTTATATGAACTCCTTTTTTGTTTTTTGCAGTGAAATTCAAAGTCAGTCATCTGAAGAGAATAAGCAGCAGCAAATTACTGAAGTTGAAGATGAGGAGAATAATAACAATAATAATAATAATAATAAGCAGCAGCTGAGTTGTTGTGCTGAGTGTTCAGCAAAATTTGAGGCAGAAGCCAGAAGTTTACAAAGCTCAAATAATAGTGAGTCAACAAGCTCTTCCAATAGCCCTCTTCCTGCATGGCTTCAACAATACAAAAATGAGCAGAAAGCAATGGGAGAAAATGACCAGGTCCTTCCTTCTCTTTGTTTCTACATTTTGCTTCTTAAAAGTCATAATTGCACAATTTTTCAAAGCAAAAAAAAAAAGGCCCACATGAAAAAGAAGGGGAAAAAAAAAAAGAAGACATCATCTCTTTAATTATTTCTCTCTCTCTAAAAATCAATACTTGAGAACTATCAATAATGGGAACTCATGATAACTGGCTAAAATACTATATTCTCTCTCATAATATGTTTGTGTGTCAGTGGAAATAATAGTCATGGTATGATTTCTAAAGAGAAATCAAAATTAAAATGTGGAATTCCACTTTGGTCTCTCTTTAGTTTTATTTTAATAGAAACAATACTTTTCAACCAGCCAGAATTTCGTTATCAATAAATGAGAAACAAACCCTCTTGTAATTACTCATAAATTAACCCAAAAGAACAAAAAAATAGAGGAAATTTTTTACATATTCTTTGATATGGAATTATTCCATTACGGACCCCCCACTATGGCTAACTATGAACACGTTTTTTCTCTATATAATAAATGGAAATCAGACGTGGAAAAGATTTTAAGTGGCATGGAATATTATTTCATCCCTCTCAAAAAGTTAGGATTTTTTTTTTTTTTTTTGACATGATCTCTTTGTTGTTTCTTATTTTGTAACAGAACTGTGTCGCAGTCGCAGAGCTTTACAGAAAGTGGAACTCCATTTGCAATTCAATTCACAAAAACCACTCCAATAATATTTCTTCTAATTCTGATGATCAGAAAAGTCTCTCATTTTTCTCTTGTATTCTTCCCAATTCTTCTTCGGCTTCTGGGTTTTCGTACGACCATCACAACCATTCCTACAATTTCTTTCACCATCCATATATCCACAAAGAGAAGCTTGATCAGCCGAAGCCACTCTTGGCGTCGAATAATAATAACAATAATAATATTAATAACGGGTCGACCCCTTCTTCGGGTTCATCGGGAAGCGACGTCGTAATGGAGGCCGGGGAGTATGTGAGTCGGTTCAAGGAGCTGAACTCGGAGAATTTCAAGAGCTTGTGCAGTGCTTTGGAGAAGAAGGTACCATGGCAGAAGAATGTGGTTGGGGATATTGCGAGTGCAATTCTTCAGTGCAGGTCCGGCATGGGGAAGAGGAAAGGGAAGATGGGCCATGCCGAGTTCAAGGAGGAAACTTGGTTGCTCTTTCAAGGTAATGTAATTAATTAACACTTTTATGGTTAATTTGTGTAGTGTAAAGTTACATCATTTTTGCTTTTTGTGTGTATCGATTGGTGTTTGCATATCTATCTATGTTTATGGGTTTGTTTTAAAGTTTTTATGTAGTTAATGAACAAGCTTAGTTCTTAAAACTAAAAAAAAAAAAAAAATCACCTTTTAAAGGTGGGTTATGTAGAGGATGTGATAAAAGTGAAAAAGGTTAGAGTTTATAAAGTTTGGTCAAGTTTATAATAGGTCTCAAATTTTATATGGTTGTGTCTCTCTACTTTAAAAAGCTTATAATAAATTTCTGAATTTTTCAATGGTGTCTAATAAATCTACAACGTCAACTTCATTAGTTTAACATTTCACCTGATACAATGATGCAGACTAAATTATTTAATTAAGAATTACAATTGAAATCAAGCTGTTACACGAATCTTTAATATGATTTCTATGGGGCAGTTCTTTCTATGGGGCAGTTCAGTGACAAGAACTTGGGATTTCTTAATTATACTGACAAGTTTGAACCTTCTGGTCGGTTTAATACAAAAAAATACTTGATATCTCTTAGGTCCAGGTCTTAGGTTTGTATGGGTATCCTTAGATATAGGAGAGCAAAACTTCTGACACCCAATTATTAAAAAAAACATAGTTAATGTGTGTTATGTAAGTATTAATCAAGTTAACGATAGATATCTATTAGATACAACTAATGAAAACATGTTTAATTTAGCAGGCAATGATGTAGCAGCGAAAGAGAAGGTGGCAGCAGAGCTAGGTAGGGTTATATTCGGGTCAGAAACATCGAACTTGGTGTCCATAACTCTGAGCAGCTTCTCCTCCACGAGGGCAGATTCCACAGAAGATTATTGCCGAAACAAGAGATCAAGAGACGACCAAAGTTGCAGCTACATCGAGAGATTCGCAGAAGCAGTGTCCACAAACCCTCACCGAGTGTTCTTAATAGAAGACGTTGAGCAAGCCGATTACTGCTCCCAAATGGGTTTCAAAAGAGCCATCCAAGGAGGAACAGTCATCAACTCCAAAGGCCAACAGGTTTCCTTAGCCGACGCCATCGTCGTTCTCAGCTGCGAGAGCTTCAGTGCCCGGTCTAGAGCCTGCTCGCCTCCGGCTCCCGCCAAAAACCCATCACAAAAAGATGATCAGAGCCAAGAGATTCAACAAGAAGAACGAGAACGAGAAGAAGAAACAGGACCTTCCTTGGCTTTGGATTTGAACATTTCTATTGATGATGATGATAGAGCTGAAGATCATCAGTCTATTGATGATGTTGGGCTTCTAGATTCTGTTGATAGAAGAATTATTTTTCAAATTCAGGAATTATGAGTAGAAAAAAATGTCAAAAGAGGAGGAAAAAAAGAGAGGTTGTTTTTGGTTTAGTTAATTTTTTTCCTTCTCTATATATATATAAATTTTTTGTTTTTGGCGACTACTTAACAACATTTCTTTAGATTTTGAGATATATTATATGATATGAGTGTATATTAGTTTCTCTTAATGTGTAACTAATGGAAATGGAATCAAATTCGAGCTTTTAAAGTGGTAAAACCACGGCTAAGATTTTGTTTTTTTGATTGAAATTAATAATATTCCATCTTTTCAACTTTTTTCAATATACATTTTTGTAAGGTTGTTCGAAACCCAATTTGATGTTAGATTCTTTTTACTTCAATTGGTAAGATATGGTTTTGCACATACGAATGATGGTGGAATATTAATCTTTGAATAGAAATTAATAATCACGTCCTTATCAACTAATTTAAATGGATGTTATATATGTAAAAATACACTATTAAGCATTGTCAGCCTAGCTAGCTATTCTTATAATCTCATGAAGAATTTAGGCTTTCTTGATAAGAATTCTTTTTGTTTATTTTTTTTTAAGTTAAACTTGTCAAAAGAAAAAATAATTTACACCTTTTTGAATTCTTAATTAGCCAAAGTATTGGGGTAAACCCTAACACGAAGATGTGGCCCTCCCCGTCGGAAGGGCCAATGTTCCTCGAACTAGGGCTCAACTAAGTTCAGACTTAAGGAAGATTCTGATTGGCAAGTAATTTGCAGATATTTAGTAGAAGGGTTAATTTTTCTCTTCCAACTACTGCCATAAAATATGAGAAATGATAGGTATGACTACTGTGATGACAGAGCTATGATTCATCATGCTCCCTTCATATAAAAGACAAAGTCTAACCGCCCGACACCAACTTTGACTTAATTTGATCTAACTTAACTTCGAAGTGTAGATTGCCAAACACTACCCCAGTGCAAGTTATATTTATATAGATAGTTCGGCAACTCAACAACCAGCATAAGAGTCCACTTTGTATTGCTTGGCCACCTTGGCTAGAACACAACATCAACCGTATATATACTTTAATTAGATTTAAATATTATTTTGGTCTCAATAGTGTCACCTTTGGCCAATAAACTTTCAAAATGTCTTCTTTTTGGTCATCCCTCTATTTTTAAAACATGACCATTTTGGTCTTTGTTTACAAAATTTTAACACAATTCTATAAACAATGAAAACCATTTAAATACAAAGTTATGACCATATTTCAAAATATTTATAAAATGTAGTATTATGTTAAAATTGTGTAATAAAGGAATAAGATTAAAAAAAATAAAGAGAACAAAACTATTTTTTTTAGAAATATTAAGATCAAAACAGAGTTTTTAAATGTACATGGACGTTTCAAATCCCCCCACATGATATTGTTACCATTTCTCTTAATTAGAGTGATTTTATTTAAAGCGTCTTTTCTTTTCCTTTTTTTTTTTTAATGTTTCTCACACTCTAATGAATGATACATCTTTTAAAAAAAAGAAAAAAAGTACAGGGACATAACTAAAAATATTTTGAAAGTATTATAAATAAAATCAACGAAAAGTAAAAAGTATAGGGATTAAAAAAGTATATTTAAACAATTATATCTCAAAACTTTAGCTTTTTCATCGTGGTTCTCTCATAAATTAGCTACCAAAGTTTTAAAATATTAAGACATTGAAATTCTAGAAAAAGTATAGAGACCGAACATAACATGAAATTGGTTAGTTGTTTTGTTTGGCAATCGTTAGATTTTTTATTTTACTTTTACTTTTCATCATTACAGTTAACTAAGGAACATAAAGAAATAGCTAATGATGTTTCTGATTCCTCGGTAATGAACTGATTACAATATTTTACATAATCATTTGACCGTTATCATAATCATTGATTTGTGCACGATTTCATCCACTTATTTGTCATTGTTTCATATGTTAAAAGTAATAATTCAATAATTTGGTGATTGAAAATTAATTATAATATGTTTACACCAAAGTTGAGAGATTATAATTATAGATGTCAAGTCCAAGCAATCACTCTTTGTCATTTACATTTAAATTTAATTTAGTTTCTATTTAGTCCTTGCATTTCAAAAGTGACATAGATATGAGGACGTACAAAGATAAAGAGGCTAAGTAAAAAAAAAATTAATTTAAAGAGACGGTGAATATGTCAGGTGAATATGTCATATATATATATATATATTTTAAGTCTAGAAATCAAATTCTAATCTCATGTATCAATTAAAAATTAAATTTAAACTTTAGGTACCAAATATGTCATTTTTAAAACTAAAAATACCAAATTCAAACTAAATTTAAATCTCAGAAACAAAAATTGATTGTTTTTTTCTAAACTCAATGACCAAATAGAAACTAAGTCCAAACTCCAGAGACCAAAAATATATTTTACACCATATACTACTACTGTATATCCTAGAAGCTCCATCCATACACTACCACTACATATACTTCGGTTTCTTTTTCTCACTTCAATAATCGTACCATGAACTTCTTCAATAAGACGGTAAAGAATTCTAATCGTCCCAAGTTTAAGATATACGTTAATTCAACTTATCACGAGTGGTTCATTGGTCCAAATGGGTTAAGGATGAATTGAGAGAATGAATTCAAACCCCATAATGATCACCTATTTAGGAATTAATTTTGATGTGTTTCCTAGCACCAAATTTTGTAAGGTCAGTTGACCCATGAAATTAGTCGAGGTACATTACACGTAAGCTGGCTCGGACACCTACAGTTATAACATATACGTATATACAGAGAATGAAAGGAAATTTGGATCCCCACTTTTTGGCAAGCAGTACACCAACACACATTTATTTTAAAAGTATATTATTCCTTATGCATCTACTTTTTCATTTTCATTTAGTTTGAACATTCAAATCTGAATATCTGAGTCATATTTTGGAGATGGGGCTGAGACATTTTCCAAAGCCATGCATGAAAATCATCGAATTCTAGGTTTGGTTTTTGTATGGTTGAAGGACAAATGTAGAAGATGAATGGATGAAGTTATTTTGATATCTGACCTGACTTGACCTCCTTCATATCCACTTAAATAAAGGGGCAGCTTCATGTGCTCAATCAATGGCGCTTCTTCCAAAAGAATCAAAAGCATTTTAATAAGATCGTCTGCAACCTCTCTTTGTCTGAATTTTTCTTAACATCACAAAGTGTTTGATATGGCTTTCCACTTTATTCTTGTGCTCTTTTTGTACCAAAAACTTAGTTTCATTCTTCAAATTTTGCCAGTTGTTCACTTCCTTTTTTTTTTTTCTTCTTTGTCTTAAAAGCAGCAATAATATTGTTTATGTGCAAACTTGCTTTAATTTCTTTCTTCTAAGTTCAATTTGTATTATTCATCCCTTTGCCTATGGGGGGATGGTTTGGTTGTCAGACACTCTTATGTTAAAGGCTAATTAGTAACACATTCATGCTTACACAACGAATAATCATCTAATTAAATATTAATTAGGGAGGAGTTAAGTGCAAGACACTTTTTGTAACTTTAATTTCTAGATGTTTTTCTTTCAAAGGGGTAATTCTTTCTGTCGGAGAGAAATCTCCTCAATTAGGATTTTTTCTCCTGTGTTTAATTTTTTAGTTCAACCATTGTGGGGATTATAATTTCATGAAGGATTTTCTCTAACTATTAACCATTTAAACACACTGATTATTGTGATAATCTATTATTGATAATTCTATATTTTTTTTTAAGTAAAGTGGGGGCCGGGATTTATATATTCTTAAAATAAAGACAGGTGTCAATTATCGCTCAACTAAACTCATGTTAGCTGATAATTCTAGTTCATCTAAAGTTACTACTCAAGGCAACAAATCTCTAGATCATTTATCCCTTTTATTGTCCATTTACTACAACTTGCGCTTTTATTATCTCCATTGCGCTCCTTGCAAGGACCTACGTTTTTATCTCAAAATATATCAAATCCTCCATCTCAAATAGCAGAAATAGTCTATGGTCCGATGAATTCTACTTCATTATTTGGTTCATTTGATTGGAAAGAAACAATCGTCTTTTCTCCAATATATATATACAACAGTTATACTTCATGATGATATACCTAAAATCGTTGTTTTCTCCTAGTAATTCAAATCAACTTTTTTTTTTAATTACGATATTTCCCCAATCTCTTTAAACTAGAGTAGTGCTTCTATCTAACCTCATCTCTATATGTTTCTCACATACTTTTTGAATAGATTGTATGATGTCTTTCTTTCAAAATAATAATAATAAAAAAGTTACTACTCAAAAGTTAATTAAGAACCTCCAACCTAATTTTTATTTTTTATCCAAAAAAAAAATCATCTCCATTATCAAATAAAAATTCAAAATAGTGATAGTAACAGATCGAGTAACATATATAGAGGTCTACAGAGATAATTTAACTGACAAAGATGAGTACTTAGTTCAAAATACCCATACTGAGTTATAAATATATATGATAATTAACCCATCATCGGCAAAATTTAACTTAATTATATGATCATTAAGTCGCACTTATTAATTTTCATTTTGACAGTATACTAAATTACACTTCTTATAGCAATAATTCTCCAACCATCAATCTCTAAAATAATTGTTGTACCAATAGGGTTTCAATCATGAACAGTAGATTGGAAATTTGCATAGCTCCAAATGCAGTCATGTCGTCCACAACAAATGTAGCAAAAAAAAAAAGGAAAAAAAAAACACAGAAAGTGACTAAAAAATTCTCATCGAATAATGAACGTGAAATCCGGTGGCTTTCCAATTATAATTATTCCTTGCAGGCAAAGTCAAGTAGATTTAATTTCGAAAAGGAAGGTGGAGTAATGGATGCATCAATAATACAGCTATTTTATGTACTTTTAAGGAACTTAATTTGATTCTAAATACATTTTATCGAGAAAAAGTAAACGTGGGTCTTAAAAGAAAAAAGATATTCTTTTTAAAACTTGTTTAAAAAACAATAAAATAAAATCCGACCATGGTTCAAGGACTA